AATAATTTTATATAGTATTAAAATTCCTGATATTTCAGACAGAGGGACAAATTAGAGGAAATTCTGCGTGGATTAACACCTCGGAAGAATGATATTGGTGATGCAATGGTTTTCTGTCTAAATAATGCGGAAGCTGCTGAAGAAATTGTAGACTGCATTACAGAATCATTGTCCATTCTGAAGACTCCCCTTCCTAAGAAGGTGTGGAGATTTTGTATAATCTTGTATTTGGGGGGAAGAGCTCACTTAATAGCACGTGCATAGAATTTACAAGCATTACTTCATAAGTTTCAGATAGCATTGAGGTTTTGTATTAAAACGTGGGCTTGAATTTAAGTATGCTTTTTTTCCTGTGGGATTTTATTATATGTTTTTATTCTTTCTGAACCTGCTTGTAAATAATGTTCTGCCTTACTGTGAAGTTGGAAACAGCAGAATAGTCTGTTCAAACAAGGAAATAAAAATTGGAATGCTATGATCTGTCCTTTGTAATACTATGTAATATAGCACGTTACAGTGGCCAGTACCCTGTAGCGTAACGGGGGACTAATTGCCTCTTAGCGTGTTTGTTCATATGGCTGTGTTACACTTAGTTCTAATCTGATACTTCTAGATAGTTTAAGCTATCTTGTATTCTTTCTGGAGAAATGCATCTATTTTCAGGATAATTTAAATTCTAGAGTTATCTTAATTTGAACATTCTTTATTGTAGATTGCAAGATTATATCTAGTGTCGGATGTGTTATACAACTCTTCAGCTAAAGTTGCCAATGCTTCCTACTATAGAAAATTGTAAGTACAATATTTTAGGTGACTGATGATTTAAAAAAAAAAAAAAAATCCTTATATTTGGTTTCGTACATCTCTGGATAAATGTGGTTGTAGAGAAATTCACACTTTTCTATGAGAATATAAATTATATCTCTTTGCATGAAAATGTTTAAGATACAGCATGTTAGTGCATAGTATTGCTTTGTAATGCAAAAAGAAGTGTGTATGCCCTGTGTAAGGGACCACTTGCATGGAACCTCATAGAGGTGAGAATAACTCACGTGCTTCTTTAGAGAAAGAGAGCCTGTAGATGATATTCAAGATATGGTATATCGAATAATCCATGTGAAGAAGCCAAACTTTTAAATAGAATTTTTTTTTTATTAAAAGGTGTTTTTTAATTCTCCATGAAGGCTGGAGAACTTATAATGGGATTATGTACTTTGTTTCTAAGGTGCTGAGCAGACTTTAGGAAGAATGTCCAAGGGAGAGTACCTCTGTCCTATTTAGATATTTGATTGTGTCTACTTCCTGGAGTCTCTGTAATGTTATGGTAACATGATGGGGAATAGTCAGCATGTTACAAAACTCTAGTGATTGCAAATAATGCTTCTTGTTGCAGTGTGTGTTTGCTGTGCCAGTTAAATTTTTGTACATTGAGAGACGCTCAAGGGAAGCTAGGTAGCTATTACTCACTGTGCTTTCACTGAGGGCCTCATTGAGTAACTTAGAATAGAAACATAACTAAGAATTTTTTAAAAAACACAAATTGAATTTTGAGACAATTCTTGCATTGTATATAAGGTAAAACTCCTTTTATCCTCCTCCAGTCTTTCCAGGCTGTATAAAGAGACTGCAGCAGATGTGAAGATCTCCCTTCACAGTTCTGTTGTTGTCCAAGGTGATTTAATATATAGCAATCATATTTGCTTTATAGTTCAGTTCATGGCTATTATAGGGATCAGAACCTTGTGCTCTTGAGTCCTGTGTCCCAGGTATTTTTGTGAATTATGTATGTCCAGAAAATATATATTGCAGAGTTTAACTAAAGAAATGTATATGTTTAATTCTAGTTTTGAAACAAAATTGTGTCAGATATTCTCTGATCTCAATGCTACTTACCGTACAATACAAGGCCATTTACAGTCTGAAAATTTCAAGGTATGTATTTCATTGTTATTTATGTGACATTGAAGTCAAATACATAGATGTTCCTGCACAAGAGATTGCATACTGTGATAGGTAGCTCAATCTTCCTAATTAAGCTTTAAAAAAAAAAAAAAAAAAAAAAAAAGCCTTGAAATTAAGGAAGAAAATTAGCATCTGACAGCTGAAGTGTACCGTTAGATGTATAGTTGTGGAGTTGAGAGGATATCTGTCTAGTACTTGAATTGCAAACAAGGCCTTCTAGCTTTCTGATTATTTTTGGACCACCTATATTTCAGTTTCAAAAATAAATTTGAGCTGCTCAGTGTAGAAAGAAACTGCTGGACATAACAGCATAAAGTTACTTTTTAACATTTTTGTGATAGATAGGCTTTATTTTTTGAGGTCTGATAAGCAGTCTGACCGTGGGTAGTTGAGAGAGATTTCCGAGATAGCGCTCTGCTTCTCACCATTCTCATGCTCAGCCTAGCTTTTCCTTCTTCTGTTATAAAGATGCCTCTACAGTTCTTTTTTTTTTTTTTTAAATCAGAAGCTTTAAATACAAAGCTTAGAGTGTAGTTAGTTTTTCTGTATTAAGGTCTTTCTGTGTTGTCCTACCTTCTCTGCTCCCAGTTGCTCTAGATTGAGAATCAATTTTAGTTATCTGCTATTTTAAAACTGTTTATTAAATTATATGGTAAAGACAGGCAGTAGATTTTTTTTATATCTACATCTCCAGCTACATTTAATGTGTTAAGCTTGAGCTGAAGCCCATCATTTCAAATATACTTCACTTCTACAAAGAAATGAATGTAGGAACATCATTTCCTTTCAATAATATGGATAAGCTAGTGTTAATTTTAGTTATTTTATTTTACACTGGGAAAGATATTTCTGTTACATTTAGTAGAGGCACCTGCTTTGAACATCTGGGTGGAATGAAATTTGCTGTTGGGATAGGAACTGCGAACAGCTGAAATTGATAATGTAACAGGAATTTAAAGGGGAAATGAAACCCAAGTGAGATTTTTAAAATGGTAGTTCCTATATATGTATTTTTGTAAAATTACTAGTCTTGCCCAACATAGTATTGTTGTAATATACTTCAGTATGGAACTACTTAGGAGTAGCTGTCTACAGTAGTAGTTCTCTGTGGTGTATTTCCAATCACTTAAAATTTCTTAATACAATTTTATTAGTGGTTTGGTTTTTTTTTTCCTATTGCTTCTAGCAACGGGTAATGACATGCTTCCGAGCATGGGAAGACTGGGCGATCTATCCAGAACCATTTCTGATCAAACTACAGAATATTTTCTTGGGGCTTGTAAATATCATGGAAGATAAAGAAACAGAGGTAAGTGACCTTGGTAGTGATGCTAGCAGATGGTGAGGAGAAATGTGTAAATATAAAGTAGGGCTGGCAAGGATTATTTTGATGTCTCTGTTAGGGTGAGTAAACCTTTTTTTCCTCTGAATCCTTGCTCTCAAATACAGGTGTAACATAGTTTCAGATGCAAATATGGTTTAATCTGTTTATGCATTTATTGCTTGTAGATTAGGTGCTGTGATGGAGTTATATTGTGAAAACCTTTCAGAGCAAAGACTAGTGCAGAGTGACAGGTATTTCCTTTGTACTGGAAATACTCTGTAGTATCTGTCTGTGAATTTTGAGTTAGAATTTCAGACCTTAGTTTTCATTTCTGAGAGTTCTAAATAGCTAGGCATCTAGCTACCTGAATCATCCATTTTGGTTCTTTTTTGTGAGTGTCACACTTGAATGTAATAGAGGCATCTGAGCTTTCTTAGTTTGAGAGGAAGGCTGTGATAGGTCGTTTACACTGGTGATACTCTACTTCGATCTTTGCTGTGTTGTATTAGAGCAGTAAGTTCCTAACTTTCTAGGTATGCTACGACATTTATCTTTGGGGGTTTTTTTAGAGGTTATTTTAAACAGGATATGTAGTGAGTTTTAGTTATTGCATAGTGACATGTATAAATTATTATTCAATATTTTGAAGCTCTATGCTTAAAATTTATAGAGTAGTATTAGCACTCAGTGAATGTATACTGATCTGTTTACAGTCACCTATAAGTAACTTAAGACAATAAGTAATTTAAGAGAAATGAGTAAATAAGTAATTTAAGAGAAACAAGACAGTGGACCCTAATAAATGGATGTATGTTTAGGATAAGTTAATTTTGTAACTCTGTGGAAACATGCCTTTCAGAACAGCAGGGGGAGACCTACAGTATAATTGGAAGGTTAGCTTATTTCCTTTAGCAGTAGAGCAGAATGAACATGCACATATGAAGGACAGTGCCTGTACCTAACAAGTTGGAATATGTAGCTGTATTTATCATTTATGTGTGTTCCTGCTAAATAGTTGATTTCTGTCAATCATAGAATCATAGAATCGTTTAGGTTGGAAAAGACCTTTAAGATCATCCAGTCCAACCATTAACCTAACATCCACACTAAACCAATCAAGGGTAGACTAGACTAAACCATGTCCCAAAGTGCCACATCTACCCATTTTTTGAACACTTCCAGGGATGGTGACTCCACCACCTCTCTGGGCAGCCTGTTCCAATGCTTGACTACTCTTTCCATGAAGAAATTTTTCCTAATATCCAATCTAAACCTCCCCTGGTGCAGCTTGAGCCCATTTCCTCTTGTCGTATCGCTAACTACTTGGGAGAAGAGACCAACACCCACCTCGCTACAACCTCCTTTCAGGTAGTTGTAG